TGATGTGCCATTTGATTTAACATACATACATACATACATACACTTGGTGAGGATGAGATAAATGCACGAATGGTGTTGTCGTGCCATTTGAATTGATATCTTGAACACATTCCTCTTATTATGAATTCATGGGTTAACGATGTTGTCAGTGGTTATTGCCTTAACTTCTCGACTTGAATTGTTAAGAAAAGGGTTGATTTGTGATATTGAGGAACCCGGTCGTTATTCCTTTTAGTTAATCATTTCACTATTTCTCGTGTTTGTTTTATCTACATTGTTATTTTTAATTGTTCTCTCTACTACAATTTAACTGCACATGTTATATTAGTGAGTATCTTTTAACTTAAAAATCTCGTCACTACTTCACTGAGGTTAGTCAAGATACTAACTGAGTACATGAGGTCGGTTTTACTCATACTACACTCATGTACCGTGCGTGCAGATATTAAGCGATGAGCGGCTGAGGAGTTCGTGGGTCTAACATTGAAGACGTACCTGCACTCCATATATAAGTTACCATTTGTTCATGGTAGTTTAGCATTTATATCTCTATTTATGTAGATTTCAAATAGATGATGTATCTTTCCTCAAACTGGAGTTGTACTCTTATTCTTTGTAGCTTGTGACTTGTACTATCCGTAGGATGGTTGAATTGAACTCTTTTAGCTATTTTATTCATTATCTTTTTTGGTCTCTATTTATAGAAGTGACTTACTCCGTTGGTCTTACCTAGCGGGTTGGGTTAGGTGTCATTACGACTAAGTGTGATTTTGGGTCGTGACATTATTTTGGTTGACAAACTATGTTCATTCTCCTCTACCTTCCATATTTTCTTCACCCTATCATATACAACAATATGTGTCTTATTTTCATCTTTCTCTCACTTTTAGTCTTTCTTTGCCACTTTTTCTTTAGACACTAAGTCCTCTTCTTATTTCCAAGCCATTGAGGATGACAGGTCAGTTCAAAAAATGAAGCTTGAGATAGAAGCCCTAAACCAAACCACACTTAGAAAGTAGTTGACTTGCTTCCTGGCAAAGTGCCTATAGGATGTACGTGGGTATAAAAAAATCAAATACAATGCTAATGGTCAGGTAAGAGGTTCAAAGTTAGGTTAGTTGCTAAGGGATACATTGCATTGATTTTCATGATATACCTTTTCTCTTATAGCCAAAATTAGCACTATGAGAACTATCTTAGCTATTGCAGCCCTTAAGTACTGTCCTATCTTTAAAAGGAATGTTCACAATACTTTTTTGAATGATAATCTTGATAAAGAAGTTTACATGACTCTGACTCAGGAATTTGGCAGCCCGGGGGGAGGGGGAGGGGGCAAGAACGTGGCATATATATTATTCAAATTCATATATGGCTTAAAACATGCTTTTAGCAATGGAACTTGAAACTGACACAAGCCTAGTAAAATCTGATTTCTAGTAGAGCAGACATGACTACTCACTGTTTACTAGAATCCCTAATGAAAAATTTGTGTGTATAGCTATCTATGTAGATGATTTACTTTTCACAAGTAATGATCTGGAGGAAACTCAAGCAGCTAAGGCTGCATTATATAAGAAATTTAAGTTGAAGGATATTGGATAACTAAGATATTTCCTGGGAATTGAATTTACCATATCAAGTGGGAGAATTCTAATGTCCCAAAGGAAATATGCTCTGGAAATAATTTCAGAAGCAAGTCTCTCAAGTTCAAAACCTAAGGAGACCCCAATGGAATATAACTTAAAGCTCACTAGTACAGAGTTTGATGAACTTGTGAAAGTAGGTGTTTCTAATGAACTTTTAAAGGACAAGAGCAGTTTTTAAATGTTGATTGATAAGTTATTGTATTTAACAATGACAATACCTGACATTGCATATACAGTATAGTGCTTGAGCAAGTTCATGCATGCACCTAAGAGGTCTTACTATTAAGCTACCCTACATGCATTAAAGTATGTTAAGAATAAATCTGGACTTGGGCTTCTGATGTCAACTCTACGTGCAGAGAAAGTAGAAGCATTTTGTGATTCAGATTGGACTCCATGTCTTATGTCTAGAAAGTCAGTTATAAGATTTTGTATCAATCTAGGAACCTCACTCATTTTTTGGAAGGCAAAGAAGCAAAGCACTATATCTAAAAGCTCAGCAAAACTTGAGTAAAAGAGCATGACATATATAGTGGCTAAACTAATGTGGTTACATGAGTTGTTGAAGGAGTTAAAGGTGGATGTAAAGCTGCCAATGGAGTTTTATTGTAACAATAAGGCTACTTTATAGATAGCAGTAAATCCTATATACCATATCGCTTCATCATAGAGAAGATACAAGAAGGTTTGATCAAAACAACACATATAGCCAAGAGTAGCTAGATGATATTCTGACAAAGCCTTGGGACATCAACAACATTCAAAATGCTATCTAAGTTGGGAATGTAGAAACAAGTTGCTTGAAATGATCTCATATTTAGTTATTTAACTTATATTATTCTAAAAGTAAAGTTAGTTAGCTTGTTAGATAGGTGCTTAGTTGGATGAGGCATGTGTATTGGCGGTTAGTAGAGATGGTTAGTTGTAATATTTACATAAGTGATGTACAATACATTTCTCTGCATAGTTGAACAGAATATAATCAGATTCACTTTCTCTCTAGAAGTTTCCTCTCCCTTTTCTCTAAGTCTCATCTTCCTCTAGCTCAAAACTCATCAATGACGGACCTAGTGTTTAGTTTTAACAGGATACCAAGAAATTCTTTTTGAGTCAACTGAACTAACTTCAATCTTATATTACATATAATAGGGATCACTAATCAAGAAAACTAATTTTTTGCATACTAAAACCACTCTAACAACTTTTAGGCAATATTACAGTCCACTTTCAATTGTTCCACAATATCTAGATTTACGAAATAAAAGAGTGTGGGAAAAAACGATAAATTTTTACTTTACTGAGAAGAAATATGAAGACTAATTCTATTTTATTTAGTATGATTGGAAGGAAAATAAAATTTATACATTTCTGCATTTAAGTTCATCTACTTCTATTTCACTTTCTCCTGGCCTTCTTTACCAAGTAATAAGTAGTAGTATTATTTATCCGTTACCTTATATTCTCCTACCTTTCCCTTTACTTCTCAAATTTTCAAGCAAACATAAAAATTATAATAACCTTTTAGCATATATTTCTAATTATTTGACCTTCTAAGTTCCAAGTAAAAAAAAAAATATATGACGAGTGAAACCCACTCTCATCTTAAAGTTATTTTAGCACTTCAACTGTTAAGTTGGTTCTTTGACGGACATACCTCTTTTGTATCTGTCACTGTTCATTTTTACACTGTAACTGATTTCGCCAACCATTGAACCAACATTGTATTCACTTTCCCATAAAAAAATTATGCTGCGTTTTGTCAAGCTTGTTCTATTTATCACATTTCAAATAATACTGAGTTGAAAAAGTAGAAAAATATTTGAAATTGAAGCTAAAAATACTCCCCGTTCACTTTTACTTGGCACCTTTTGACTTTTCACGCCTTTAAGAAATAATAAATGAAGTGTATAATTTACCATGATACACATGTTAATTGATGCATATTTTATTAGATTTGAGAAAATGATTTGAAATGAATAATAAATACTATGGGTAAAACATGAAAAAGTTTGTTGTCTTCTCTTGATATGCGTAAAGTGCCACGTAAAATTGAACATTTATTTTTAGTATACATACCAAGTAAAAGTGACTGGAGTGAGTAATAAGTATGTGAAAGCTGATTAAGCAAAAAAAAAAAAAGGCTAATAAATAATAATAGATTCCTCCCTTAAATTCTCAACATTTGATTTATTCCTCATTTGGAATATCACCTAATTGGATTATCTCATCAAAAAGAAAAAGAAAATACTGCACTACTTAAAATGATTAACAGAATATGAATCTATTTTTAGAAAAAAATATTTTCTCAAAGTTGGGAGTAAATCTTAAAAAACTGTCAAATGTCACCAAAGGTCACAACAGTTTTGTAGACCCAAAAGTATAAAATTGGGTTCACATATTTGTGAGACAAAAAAAGAACCTCATAGATGTACGAGACACAAAATAAAATTTATCGAAAAATTACTACGTAACTGATATTCAAAACAACGGTCTCCTCAACTGACACCCAGCCCCCACATCTCGAATTCCCCTACTTACAACTCAATATCAAATCCATTCTTGAATTCTATTGTTCCTGTTTTTACCCTTTTTCTTTTCTTTCACTACTCCTATTTTTAATCCCCCATTTTTAACACCCGGGTGGGGGGAGAGGGG